TTTATTACAAATAAAGAAATTTATTTTTCAATTTATCTTAATTCATACAAATTCTCATTAAAAATCTATTTACTTTTTATTTCTTAATTCAAATATTTTTAATAAAAAAACTAATTTAACATTTATACAAGAATTTAGAATAATTATTATCAAAAATAACTAATTGTAATAGATTAGAAATTAATTCATAGAGAGACATTCAATTTTATGAAATTTATTAAATCGTTCGATAGTCAAATTTAAATCTTTCAAATGACTAAAATAGATTATTTTTAATGGTTTTTTTTCTTTTTTACAATAAGAATAAGAATAAACAATCTTCAACTTACAAATGATTATCATCTTATATCTTTGTTTATTTTCTCATGAAAATTTTTCTTACTTTCGGATAAAATTCTTCAAGGATAAATATAATAAAACAATGTCGGAAGCTGATAGATAATGTAAAAACATTTACTCGACGATCTGTTATTTTAATTATAGATTATCGAAAGAATTCAAATAATAAGAAAAATAAACTATTTTATAGGCGAACCTGTTCTTATGTTCTTATCGATAATATAGAATGAGCTAATATTTGGATTCTCAGAAAAATTTCTACATCTCAAGGCAGTTTCAGATTAAAGCCAATATGAGAACGTAACTTTTTGTCTGAACAAAAATCAAATATAAAAAGTCTGTTGAGACCAAAGTTTAATCTTCTCGAAATTTTCGAAAGAAAAACAAAATATTGTTGATGAAAAAATAGCAGTCTTTGATAAACTGAAAAATGTGGTAGTACGGTCCATATCTTCTTAAGGAAGTTTGTTAAAATGTGACTAGTTTTCATTTGATGGTAAAGAATTAAATGATATTCTACTTTTTCTCTACTATTTCATAATAGTTCGAAGTAATATTACATTGATAAATTTTTAATAAAATCTCTTTTCTTTGCATATGTGATAGTTAGACAAATACTGAGAAAGATTTTTTGAATAATGTTTATTGAAATAAAATAGAGAACTCATTTTCACCATTGAAATTATAAAAGACAAAGACCTATCCAATTCTATCCAATCAGTTTTGTTTTATAAGAAAACGAAAAAATAGTGATTCTTCAATGGTATTACTAGAAAATAGAATTAGAAATTCAAGTAGAAGACATATTATTTTGGTCAATATTTTATACTTTTTCAATCTTCAATTAATGATCTAAGCTTATATTTGACAAGTGAAAATTGATTGTCTCTAACTGAATAGATAAGTTGTTATTAAATACTTATTAACACGATCAGTACGTATCATAACGAAACAATTCATAATCACAATTTTTTATTAGAAGATTTCTTCAACTATGATTAAATGGGATAGAAAAAATATTTGTATAATAACAAAGTGTTATTGTGATATACTTTAAATATATATGATGTTGAGATTTTGATCAAATCAAGGTATAACAAATAAGTGTGATAAATTACAGAAAGATTGTGGATGTAAATAAATGTAATTGAAAAGGAATTCGAGTGATATGATAACTACATTTTGACATTTTAATGAAATAAATGAGACGAAGAATATATAAGGAGATTTCCTTTTTTTTTTATTTCGATTAACAAGAAGTGAAGGGAATACGACTGAGTAATTTTTTTAGATTTTTCCAAGGTTGAGAATGACGTAGTATTGCTAAAACATTTGGATTTCGTCTAAGACCATCGAAAGAATTATTCCAATAAGTTCCACTAATACGTAAAAGATATGGATTACCAATAAAATAAGAATCATATTGAAAATAATTTAACATTTCTACAAATGATTTTAGTGTATATTCTTTTGCAAGAACAGATCGATCATCTAACCATGTCTCACCAGTTTCAAATGAGAATAAAGGAAATATCTTAGCATTTATCGATAAATTCATTCCTCGAATAACTTCTGGTTCGAATCCTTCAACATCTATTTTAATAAAAGATATTGGTGTTTTAATATGATATTTTTTAATAAATTCAGGTAATGTCGTCACAGTAACATTTTCTATTTCTTTAAAATTGGGTAAGAATGCTTTTCCTAATGTTGAACCTTCTCCATATTGACTTGGTGAATAAATTGGTTTTTCACCCGATTGATCACTAATAGCAAGATTATAATGAAAATGTTTATCATTTTTTTGTTTCTTGAATGTTCGCGAACGATTTCTTAATAAATGAAACAAAGTAACAACGGGTTCAATAGAATGTACAATATATGGTATTTTATGTGGTATACTTAATACTCTTTCACTAAATTGTCCAACATTTGCTCCAAATTCTATTATAATTATTTTCTTTTCTGTTGAATCTAAAATTGTACTTAGAATAGAAAAAAAAGGTATGTCATCTCTGTGTCCAAAGTTTTTCTTCTCTTTCCAATGTTGAAGACCGCACGTCTTATTATAGATTATTAACCGTGATGATAATACAAAATCAGTCTTGTCAATGAATACATTTTTATACGATACGAACGATTTTAAATTAAATATTAAATAAAAACCAATGACAGTACCAACAACTAAACCATATAATAAAAAGCGTTTGTATTCTTTCATTTTGTTAACGTTTCAATTAATTTCTAGTGATACAACGATGTTGAATCTTCGAACTAAATGTAACATAACAGATGAAAGTATTTTTTTATTCAAATATGAATATATAGAAATGAAATTTACACCCATCCTTAGGAATATTCTTCTTAAACATATTTTCATGTGTTGACAATGACTCAATTTACTTCTTCGAAGTATCTCAATTAAATATATATTGAACAATCAGATAAATCTTGTAGTAGAAATCGAAAATTTCATTCTCATTACTTTTATACTTTGTATTAGTCTGTTTTAAACGCGATATTCACAAGTATTCCTTAGGTCAACGTGCATGGAATCTCTATGTATTCAAAAACGATTGTATATGACTTCCATATAGAAAAAAACTTGTTAATTAATTATTAGATTTAAATCTTGTATAAATTCATAGTAAATTGACTGCCACTTATAGATCCAATGTTGTTTATTATATTCATTGAATTCACTTAATTATGCATGATTACTCATTGAAAAAATTGATAAGATCAAAAATCTAGTGACTCTTGATCTATATATTAATAAGGCTATAGAATAATCATCTCAAATTTAGTATACTATAGGAATTATCATGATCATGAGTATTTTTCAATGATCGATTGAACAACTACACAAGAAAATATTGTCATCATCATCAACAAATATGATACTAGATTGATATCTTAGAAATACAAAATATTCTTATTAACTTTGGTTATCTTTAGAAAGAAAAGATTAAAGTTAAAATACTTCATCTACCTTGAAGATCTAACTTTGTTATGTTAAATATCGCGAGTCATCTACTTCGATTATTTACTGGAAAAAAGTGAGTAGCATGGTTTTTTCTATATATAATCATGTAAAAATACGAAAACTCATTGGCTAATCTATGTAAATGACTTTGAAAATGATTTTAATTGAAAACTTACCATATCTGTGTATGTCTCACTGGACAATTATTTTAAACTAAATAAATTCTTATTTCGATTAAGAAAAGAACAAAAAAATTGTATTTTACTATTTTTTTCTTCATCTATACGCGTTTAATTTCATAAAAGAAAACATGATCAATGTGCAACATCCAAGATAAAAAAGAACAGAATGATTTGAAAAATAAAAATACAATACACATAACTATAAATACACTTTTCAATTTTACAATAGCAGTTGGACATAGCATAAGCAAAATGTGCTGTACAACTGCAACTTTTTATTTGCACTCTCATTTACCATTTGCTCGAAAAGTAGAGTGTATGGTGCACATTTTGCGACAATGATTTACAACTTGATTCTAAAATGTCAGAAACAGTAGATAGGAGGATATTGCACTCTTTTTTCTTTTTTCCTAAATGAATATGTCAGATTACGAAATGATATGCTTATTTATCACTCATATGTTTATTATTTAACAAGTATTTATCTAAAGTACTTATGAACAAAGTAGAATTATTTCTCTTTTTTACATTGGAAAAACGTCATAAGTACACTTTGTACACTTGACAGACAAAAAGAAGGTGTATACTTACGTTTTGTCTACCTAAGCAAAGCGTACCAATACATTTTGTTTGAACTTTCTACTGGAAACTCTGGTGCGTACTCTTTTTTTCTATTCGTGAATCACGATATTTACAGCAACTTCAATGTATGAGTTATTTTGTTAGAGTAAAATTCATGCGATGATTAAACAACAGTGTAACATATGGCAGGAAGAAGGAGAAGAAGAAAAAACATTTGCTAAAATAACTGTGTGTCTCTTTCTTCGCACAGTCATTCAGTAGAAGCATGATCCATGTATTGGCATACTTTAACAATGACGCAGGTGAAAGCAAGAGAAAATTTGAAAGTTTAGCAACAAAACAAAAATTGTTGTTAGATTTTTTTGTTTAATTCATTCGTGAAGGTTGTTGTCAACGAATATTTTTTTGTTGATCTTTTCTTCTTTTGTTCTCTAAAATATTATATTTTTGTTTGACACTAGATGACGTTTGTTCTTGAGTGTTAATAAAAGCGTCAAACATTTTGCGTCTTTAAAAAATTTACAAAAAAAAATGATTGCCTATATAAGTAGAAGAGAAATTGGTTCTATTTATTCAAACAACAATCATAGTTATATTAAAGTCCATATTCACAATCATTTACTTCCAACTATTTCAGAAGATTTTGAAACTGTGAAACATGGCGAATGTCAAATCACACGATGTTGTCCAATCAAGACAATGCATAGCACAAAATTATGTAATTGTGTGGGTCAATGACAATGTCCACACGACAAAAAAGGAGTGCCAAAACATTTTGACTCAATTAAAAAGTATCATCAATGATGTCACGCTATGTACTCAACCTGATCAATGTATGCAGATTCTCAACATTGACAATGAGCAAAAGGCTTTTGTTATTGGCTCGGAATTATTAGATAAAAACCTTGCTTCCAAGATTCATTCGATGTCGACGTTGAATGGTATCTATATTTTATGTGACGATGAATCGCGTCGTGAAGAATGGATCCAAAAATGGAGTAAAATCAAAGGAGTATTTACAAATATCGAACATCTATGCGAAGCACTACAGTTAGATGTTAAGCAGTGTGATCAGGACAGTATTGGTGTGAGCTTTGTCACAATTAATGATGGAGTTTCTACTGACAACTCGAATCAGTTAGGATTCTCGTTTATGTACAGTCAAATCTTCAAAGAAATTATTCTTGAATTAGATCATGATATGAAATCAATCACGGACTTAGCAGTGTATTGCCGCCAATTTTATCTCGGTAATATAAATGAATTAAAAATCATTGATGAATTTGAGCATGATTATCGTTCACAATCAGCGATTTGGTGGTACACTCGTAAATGCTTTATTTACCGAATGTTGAATCATGCATTTCGTACACTGAATGCCGATACTCTTGTTAACATGGGATTTTTCATTCGTGATTTACATCAACAAATTGAGCAACTCTACCTACAACAGATTAATGATCGTAGCGGAAAACCTTTTCTAGTTTACCATGGACAAGGTCTATTGAAAACAGATTTTGAAAAGTTATTGAAAACAAAAGGTGGTTTCATGTTTTTTCACAACTTTATTTTTGCCAGTACAAAACAAGACGGTGCTTTGAAATTCGCCCGAGGTTCAATAGGAAAAACGGACATGATTGGGATACTTTTCGTAATATCCATTGATCCTCGAGTTTTATCATCACCGTTCGCCTCAATTGAAGAAGTCAGTTATTTAAAAAGAGAAAAAGAAATTCTCTTCTCTATACACACAGTATTTCGTGTCGGTAAAGTTAAACAGATAGACAAGAACAATCAGTTGTATCAAGTGGAACTTCAACTGATCGCTAATAATGATGAACAACTTCGTGCTCTTACAAAACCTATTGGAGAAGAGACATCGTGTAATACAGGATGGCAACGATTATGTACTTTATTACTTTCAACAGGTCAACTTGAAAAAGCTGAAGAATTGTGTAAAGCATTACTCGAACAAACATCTGATCCAAATGAGAAAGCACTCTACTATCATCAGCTTGGATTAATCAATCAGAATCAAGGTAATTACAAAAAGTCTATTCGATATTATGAACAAGGACTTGAAATCTATCGAAAAATACTTCCAGCAAATCATCATAATTTGGCTGTTTCGTACAATAACATTGGTTTAGTGTATGATAACATAGGAGAATATGAGAAAGCACTTTCTTTTTATGAACAAGCAATAGAAATTTATCAAACAAATCTTCCTGCAGATTATCCTTCATTAGCTACTTCCTATAATAATAGTGGTTTGGTATATGACAGTATGGGAAACTATTCTCAAGCACTTTCATTTTATCAAGAAGCATTTGATATTGAACTAAAAACTCTTCCATCAGATCATCCTCTATTGGCTGCTACTTGTGATAATATCGGTGGTGTATATAATAATATGGGAGAGTATACGAAAGCACTTTTATTTAAAAATCAAGCACTTGAAATCTATAAAAAAAATCTTCCTGAAAATCATCTTAATTTGGCTCAATCTTATAATAATATTGCTTGTGTTCATCACAATATGAAAGAATATTCAACAGCACTCTCATATTTCGAACGTGCTCTAAGTATATGGCAACCTTTACTACCTTCAACTCATCCTCAACTGATTAATGTGGAGAAAAGTATTGAAATTCTAAAAGAAAAACTCTAAATAACATTTAATAACTAAATAATGTTAGACATTTGGATGAAACAGTTCTGTTGTTAGTTGCTAGCACATATTGCTGAGTGTATAATGATGAAATAATCATTAAAATGTATTTCGATTCATTAATAAATGATTTATTAATAGTTGACTTTATTTTTGGACGAATTCTAATTGATTTCAATAATTTCTAAAAACCATATATGAACTATTAATATTTACTTATGAGAAGGTGTAGGATGATTAAATAAAATTGTTATATCCACATGCACTCTTATCTAACATAATTCCATTCTTTTTCTATAATGGTAATATTTGATGTTGTAGTACTGCAATTACTATTATGGATTTTTCAAGATAAAATCTTTTGAAAAGACTCACGTCAGTATAATCAATATATCTATTGATACTTATAGAAATTAAAAGTACCATTAATAAAGTCAATAATATTATCTTTTTTAATCCTAGAAAATCATTGAATAAATACTTAATAACAATATAAGATAGAATAGAACTCCATAAATTTAAAATATATCACGATGATTATATTTATATTGAAATTTCTCTTCATATTAATCTTTATTCAACACGATCAAAGTAAATTGTGGTTGTTGAATTTGGTTATATATTTATAAATATCTTTTTCTATTCATTAAATTGAATATGTATTGGTATGAAATCAAATATTAAAGAAGAAAACCTAAAATGATTTCTTGATTATTTTTGTTTCTATAATGTATATTAACAAATACTTTCAATGTGTATCAATTTTGCACTCGAAATAAAAGTTCTAATAAAGAATGATT